TACACAAAAGGCTACACCATCTTGGTCTTCATATCTTCGATTAAACTATCGAAATAAAAGTGCCAAACAATGCACCGAATACAGCCGGAAAAAGACAATTGTAAGTCAATCCTGCCATTTGGCCTTTTTGAATTGCTGTAAATATTATGGTATCGCTCCCCGATTCTGCAATCTAATGAGGAAGTGTCATTCGGGCACAATTAATGAAATACTTTTATACTTTGTTAACATGACTGATCAAACTGACAATAATGACCACATATTTTACATTTAACGGCAGTATCTACGACCAAATATTTGGACTACCAATTAGATCTCCAATCTCACCTTTTTTGGCAAATGTGTACATGGACAAGTTGGAAAGGGAATTCGAAAAGTCACCACTGCAACCAAGAGTGCTTATGTAATACTTGGATGACTACCTTGCACATTGCTAACATGGTAAGGGAAATTTCAATAGATTCCTTAATGTCATTAGCCAATTTCATAAAAGAATAAAATTCACTATGGAGGTTGAAGATGAACGACTACCATTTCTGGATATTGAAGTCATGAGCTACAATGGGACACTCAGGACGAGACTATACAGAAAGCATCTATATGCGGAAATAATTCTTAATTTTCAGTCTCACCATAACTACAGACTGAAGATCGAAATACTGAGTTGGATCATCAGAAGCTTACGACTAACGGAAACAGAGTTCTGGAACGAAGAGTTGGACAAAGTGACACATCCTTAATTTTAGGAAATAAAATCGCAATGAGACCAGCAAGGAACAATCAGAAGAAAAGAGATGTCTTCAGTGAGCCTAATCAAAACAAGTAGAACCACAACATTTGTGGGTTGGCACACAAGAGACTAGGAAATAGAAAGTAACAGACATTCTATTGTGGATAGAAACAGGATAGACGCGATGGAGACTAGAGCAATTGGCTAACAATAAACGTGTTTGATCATAGACGTGATCCATGAAGCACGTCTATTTTTACTCAATTATCTATAGTCTCCACCGTATCTATCCTGCTTCTATCCGTAATACCAAGTCTATGACTTGCTATTACCTAGTCTCTTGTGTACCAACCCACAAACGTTTTCGTTCAAAATTTAACTTAATCAAAGCAAGCAATACCACAACATTTGTGGGTTGACACACAAGATACTACGATATAGCAAGTCATACACTTATTATTACGACTAGAAACAGGATGGACGCGGCGCACAGTTGAGCTAGTTGGCTGACAGTAAGTTATACAAGAGACGTGGTCCATGTAGTAAAGGCTTGATCATGAGACTTACTCAGCTTTAGCCTCGAATTAGTAGGAAATAACGCCTCGAGTAGCACAGATGGAGTGGCAGAGTTCGAGTGAAATACTTGAACCAGGGCGATAGCAGACGGATCCTACGAGGCAAGAGGGAGACCTATGGAAGAAGGACTGCGTAACAATATGGCAGACTCTGATCAACATTCCCAGCACAAGGGTTAAGAGGGGGTGGAAACGCCAACGTGGAGTGTTGAGGATTCTCATGAGTGCTACTCAAAAAAACACACGATACTACATCTAAGCACGGTAAAGGTTGTAACAATGAA